TTTCTTTATGGACCCATCTTTTGAAGCCCACATGCTTCTGCTTTGCTTGCAGTGGCGCACTCCCAACAGTTCCCCTTGTCCTTGCCGCGAATTAGATAAGGTTCTCTCTTTTAATTTTTTTTTTATTTAAAAATGTCCCTTTTTTAGTTTTAAAGTTCATTATTAGCTTCTTTTTAGCATTTTCATTACTTTTTTACACACATAGTGTATTAAAAGGTAAAAATTTTAAAATAAAAAAACTAAAAAGAAACTATTTTTGAAGTAGAGAGATTTAAGAGACCCTTTCTTAGTTTATTTTTAATCTTTTTATTTTAAAATTTTAGTTATTTAACATGTTATGTATGTAAAAAGGTAACGAAAATTTTTTTAAAAAACATTACATAAAAAATTTCAAAAATTAAAAAAGAGTCTTTTTAAATAGAAGAACTAAAAAAAAAAATATTTTTTTATTAAAATGGAGGTATCAAGATGAGATTTTAACTATTAGATAACTTACAAACCCTAGGACCCTAGAATAAACTCTCAAATTCATTCCCCTCTCGCCCTCAAAACTAAAGGGGGGAACAGCAGAGAACCCACTACTAATGAAGAAAAAAAATGGGAAGAGCACAAAAAAAGAAAAGCAAAATATTGCCGCCGTTTCCAATTGGATTGAAGAAATTGCTGTGGCTTCCGATTGAATGGAAAATAACAGAATCAAGCCCACGTGGCTATTGATAAGATAGGATGATAGGATGGGCTTTTGTTTTGTTTCTCCATTAATCCGTCGAGTCATCAAGGGCATAACTGGAACTGCATAAGAGACTTTAAAAAGAAGTTAATTTGTTCTAAACATGGGAAAATAACTAACCACCTAAATAATTATTTAGTAGTAATATTTTTTTACTAAAAATAAAAAATTTTGAATTCGAATTATAGTGAGTGAGATAAGGGATGAGAGGCAATCAACATAATAAAATAAAATAACTTTTTAGCATCTTTCTAATATGTTCTGTTTTTATTTTTTCTCCCAACAAATGTTTAAATTTAAGCAAACTTGATTTTTAAGCTCTCCAAACTGCCACTATAATACAATCTTGTTTTTTTTTTATAAATAATACAATCTTGTTTAAGTTTGACCCTGCTATTTGAAGCCCATTGTAAAATTGTTGTAAGGATATCACAAATCCTTGCCCATAAGGCCCAGTTGGTCAAACCTGTGGATCAGCCTATCCCATCCTAAATTAAACCCGACCCAGATATACAAATAGAACCCAAAACAAAACACATCCAAAAACAGTCCTCCGCCATTCCATCCGGTTAGTCCGCCAAAACTTTTTTTTTTTTTAATTGAGGGAAATTGGGGCAATTGGGAAAAGGGAAATGTGGATACAAGGGAGATAAATATTAATGTAAGTGAAGCACTTATACAGTAATCACATAAGTCATGATTAGGATATGTTCATTAAAACATTTTAGTTCTTTTATGCATTTGGGTTGGAATCTTTATATGATTTTTTTAACTTGTGTTTTTTATAGTAAAGTTAAATATGTAATTATAATATTATTTTTACATTAATTAATATTAAAAAATATAATTTTTTTATTAAATTTATCATTAGTAATGTATAAATTATTTTAATTAAATGATTACTTAAATAAATATCAACTTTTTTTTAATATTAATTAATATTAAAAAATTCAATAATT